GAATTTTGAGCGATTATCGTGAATTTTGGTCTGAATTTTGAAGTGGGTAGGTGGGGATTTTCAAGTTACTGATTTGTGTGCATGTAAGGTGAATTGAGTTGTTATGTTGATTGTTTTTTAGCTGTTTGAGTGATGATGGATCAGTTTGCCACTACAATCAGGCTTATTATTTTTATTTTTATTTTTATTTTTCTCCATTGGATGTCTTGAGATATCAAATTTCTGCCATTTTTGCTCTAGCTGGATTCTCTAAAAAATAATTTACAGTACAGTTTCATGTGTTGGCAAGGTCTCATTTTGGTATTTTATGCTAATTGTAATAGATATTTGAGGAAAATGCTACGGTCCCGTTACGAAACCATTTCGTCGAGGTTTGTAACCGTTAGATCATCATGTAGCCGTCGGGGTTAGTTGATCTAACTGTTACAAACTCCGACGGAATGGTCCCGTAACGGGACCGTAACATCACCAGATATTTGATATGTGTATTGTTGGTGATTCTATATGTGTGTCATTGCATTATAGCATGACTCGATTCTGTAAATGTTGAGCAGTGAACATTTCCTGGCATTCCCATCTTAGAAGATCTAACAACTAGAAGGTTATTTTCTTGTTGAATTGTTTTTACTTTAGATTTATCATTTAATCGACCCACGAAAAAATGGAAAGAACCTTTTTCGTGTTCGGCTAGGAAACTTGAACACTGTCAATTTTGTTCCTTTCATAGGCCTTTAGGCCATTACCAAGTATGTCGAATCGTTTCTTTAATTAAAATGATCATTTGTCAGTTTAAAGGGAAGTAGTGTTTCAGTGTTTCTGGTGTCTGCTATGAGCTGGAACATTTTTATTATTTTTCCTTTTCTTTGCTGCAATAAAAAAAATCTGATGTCATGAGGTTTTCCAAAATAAAAAAATCATTAAGTATCAAAGGACATAATGTATTAATTTCTAACATGCACAGTTTGCTCAAGGGCCGGAGCTTCCCTGGTAAGATATTGATAACCCGGAGAGCAGACCCTGTCGACCAACCAAATTTGTACTCTCCAAACACTGCAAGGAAATTGTCAGATGATTATATTGAAAATGGTGATAACATGGATGCTCCGCTTGAGGTTTTGTTTATTCTACACTCAGAAATACAATAAATAGACTCATGTTAACGCAGGAATAATAAATCCTGTAAATTATTCATGGATATTCTCCTTGCATTCAGGATGATTTTCGAAACAGAAACAGTACGAATGCTAGTTCTTCGGTTACTCAGACAAAATCTTCGAGTTCGAGTGGTGAAAGCACGTCAAATGAGATCCATAAGTCCTCAATGGGTGCTAGATCTACAGATTCTGCTAGGCTAACGAAGTTCACAAAGGAGTTGTCTGGTTCAAGTGTAATTTTAGGTTTGTACTTCTCTCCTATTCTCCATTCAGCAACGTTCTGTGAATATGGCAATATTTTAATATTAGGAGTTATGCCTGTTATGGTGCTGTATTTCCTATAAATTTATAATGTGGGAATTGCCCGACTATGAGTTTAAGCATCATAGCAGAATCTTCCCATCTCTTTACCTTTCAGGGGGAGTGATAAAAAGATTAGGAGTCTTTACATCATCTGCTCATCTTGATTTCTTATGACCATTTTCTCCGAATGCATCTTTTGTGTTTTCGAGTATCACGACTCACCACGTGAATCTGAATATTAAGTATATTGCATTTATATTTCATTTCATTTGCAGTTTGCACAAGATGTATCTCAAATGGCTAAGGGTGTGCTTGTTAAAGGAATAATTTGAGTGAATTAACTCAAAGTGAGTTTTTCTTAGTTAACTATAGGTAATTTAGAAAATGCGGGGTAGTTAGTTGGTAGTGGATTTTGAGTTTATATTAAAATATTATTTGAAATATAATAATTAAAAATGGTTTGATGTATAAGTATGAGTGAGATGATATGAAGTGATGGTTAGTTAAAATTATGTGAGTGGATGAATAGTGAATTAAAGTTGATATGATGTGCAAAAATGATTGGTTGTTATTATTTAATGAGTGGATGTAATTAGCCCAAGACCCAATTTGAATTTGATCCATCTATTTGTTCCGATCAATTTGAAAGAATTCTTATTATGTCGATAATATTGAGGATAGTGGTGTTGAGTTAAAGTTCAGTTAGATTTTGAGTAAAATTAAATTTGGTTTGAGTTTTTCCTTTAACAAACACACCCTAAGAACCATCTTTAGCGACATTTATATTCTTATTACATGTGGAAGTATCTCAGGTGCACAGTAAACCATTAATTTTGTTTCACGACTTCCATATTGTGCGATTGGTGAAATAAGTCGACTATGTATGTAATTGGATTTGTATTTGGAGCAATGAAATTGACAACTGTTGTGAAAAGTTCATTAGTGGGATTCCTTCAACCTCATCAATGTATTGTTAAAATGTTACTTTCTAAATTTCTTATCGATTTCTTCTCTCAGTTCTTAGATTGTTTCTTTTGTTTGTATCTTGCAGATAAGTTGCGTGAATTAGCATGGAGTGGTGTCCCACCATATTTGCGTCCAACTGTATGGAGACTTCTCTTGGTACACACAATTTCTAGTTGATTTTCCTCTCCCTCTCATACTTTAAACTACTATGAATTATGATCATAAGTCCTTTATCGCGTTACTAACTAATACTGAAAAAAATGATGATAGGGATATGCACCCTGTAGTTCAGACAGAAGGGAAGGAGTTCTGAGGCGAAAGCGCTTAGAGTATCTAGATTATGTTACCCAATACTATGATATTCCTGACCGGGAGCGTACAGATGAAGAGGTTAACATGCTTCGTCAGGTTGTATTTGTTTTCTTGATTTTTGAATCTATCATTTGTTTTACTTGTTACTTCACATGTCCTTTATGCATAATCTCCTACTTATACGATGGATCCTCACGGGCTTTGGTAGATTGCCGTCGATTGTCCCAGAACTGTACCTAATGTTACATTCTTTCAACAAGCTGAAGTCCAAAAGTCACTGGAGCGAATACTTTATACTTGGTTAGTTTTCTCTGCATATCAATGTTACTTCACCATTGGTTCATGCTAGGTACCTTCTAGGTGCTACTGATGTTTAGACTGAGCGGTTCTGTTCTTAGCATTAACTTGTGTCAGGCTGTCTGGTGAAAGTAGTACATCAGCAAGAGCCCATATATCCCAGCTTTTAGAGTTTTGCTCTCTTTTAGTTTTTCGTTGGAGTTTTTAGTCTCTCTAGGTTTATAATTTCTCACTTTTTTTATTGTTCATTTTTGCGGAAATAGAGCTTTCTATCTTTACGTATATTTATATTATTATTAATCTTAAGTTTTAGGGGACCTTCTGACAGGAGAGTGCCGCTTCATTATTTTTATATTATGGTTTAAAAAGTTGAGGGAAGGTTCTTTTCCAAAAGTTTAATACCTCCAACTCTGTTTTATGCACTTGAGTCCTCCTGTACACACACACACACATGTGTGTGTGTGTGCATTTTACAATTGGTTGTTTGACTGCATTCTTCTTGTGAACTTATGTAATAATAAATACACTAATTTTCATGTTCCATTTCCAGGGCCATTAGGCATCCTGCAAGTGGTTATGTTCAAGGGATAAATGATCTGGCGACACCCTTCTTGATCGTTTTCTTATCCGAATACTTGGAGGGTAGTGTTGACTCTTGGTCAATTTCCGATCTTTCTTCTGAGAAAATATCAAATGTAGAAGCCGATTGCTATTGGTGCCTGTCAAAGTTGCTTGACGGTATGCAAGACCACTACACGTTTGCCCAACCAGGAATCCAGCGGCTTGTGTTTAAGTTGAAGGAATTGGTTAGAAGGATTGATGGTATGACTTTTTGGCTAATAGGTTCTTTATATCACCGGGTTTGTTTGTGATTTTTAATGTGATTGAAAAATTAAAAATAAATTTATTTAACGCGTGAGACTTCTTTACTGTTGTATTGTCAATTATTTTTTTTAATAGAAAATAATGAAACAAGAGTACTGAAATGACTAAATTGCACTATAATCTACTTGGAACCGCACACGAATTTATACAAGGTGCAACTTTAAGTGTTGATGTTTATATGCTAAAACAGAATATCTCGACTAATGAATATTAAGATACCAGACAGGATAATGTCAATGTTCGTTTTAGTTTTGTAGATAAAAAACGTCTGAAAGTAAGATTATTTTGGTTTAGCTCGACTGGACTGACCTCTATAATTGTTTATCATGTTTTTCCAATGGGATTTTAAATACTAATTTGAGAAACTTATGTCGACTAAAATTTCAATAGCATTCTTGGTCAACATGGACATATTCTGTATGCCTTATTTCTTAGATGGAAAGATTCAGTCGACACTGAATCAAACAACTCTCACATCTTTACCGATTCATTATTGTTTAGGAGAGATCCTTGTGTTGTAATTTGTTGACCCATTTTCAGTGTATCCTAAACCATCATATGCTTACAAATTGACTTTTCGGTTTGTCTGAACTAATAGAACCCATTTCGAGGCACATAGAGGACCAGGGGCTTGAGTTTCTTCAGTTTGCTTTTCGCTGGTTCAATTGCCTTCTTATACGCGAGGTGCACATTGCTCAATCTCTGTTAAAAACTTAAATTACCTTTTTTCTAATGCTGACAACAGAATTTGTCTATGCCATAATTTTCAACCGGGAAACAAATCAGCGATACTAAACTCGTTTGCTTTTTTTTTTTTGTAGATTCCATTTCATCTCGTTACTCGTTTGTGGG